TCTGTGCGTTGCCCCACAACACAGATTGGAACTCACAGCTCAAATTTTGACTTTGAAAACCTGTTTAAGCATTGATGTGATTACGAAAAATTCGGAATGCCCACTGCTATAGTGGGCTTCAAAGTCACTCTCAGAGTGGTTGAGAGCTTGGTGCTGGAACAGATGGTGTCCAGATAACAAATACACAAATGTTGCCTTTGTAGGCATAAACCTCATTAGCAGCTGCAGGGTTCTGAGTTCTTTAGAAATTCAAAGAGGCAAGTGACTACAGACTTCAAAAATCCCACTTTGTATTTCCAGTTTTTAAACCCTAGAACTGCAGGTAATGCCATACAACTTATGATTGTAAATGATGCTAATATTCAATGCTTCCAGTCTGGAAGATTGCTATAACAATACACATTTGTATTTCTTTCTCCTGTTGGTTGTAGCACTTCTTGTTTTCTTGATTAAGAGCGGAAAGCTTACTGAAGAAAGCAGTACCAAATGGTCATATAATGATCCTAATGTTGCTTAAAGGTTCCTTCAGACACAAATCTGAGCCGTAATTCACTAGTTATCAGCCACTGCTAAAAGACAAATTGAGAGGGTTGTTCATACTATCTATAAGTAAAGCAAAACTTAAGGTAAGGTTGAAACTGCTGAGGTTGAAACTACTACATGTCTTTTATTAACTGTGGGGCCTGATGGGACTTTTTCTAGGCCTTGGAGCTTGAATTGAAAGAAATCTAAATTTCTCTTCAGTCTAATTCTCCCATTATTTTTTGTGCAGCTGGCTGCACTGAAAACATTCTATTACTTGTGAGAAAATGTGTTTGCTATTTGTGTAGTCCTTATGATTTTAGAATGATTTTAGAGTTATAAACACTAATTTATTTTTTCTTACAGTAACTCTGAGGGGTAAGAACTATTATTCCATATTTTTCCCGACAAGAAATGAGAGATCAAATTAATTCCACCAGATTGTACAGAAAAGCCAAATCAAAGCTCTTGGGCAGATCTTTCCTAGGTGAATGGCTGTGAAGAGTGGCTGCAGAATTGGTATTGGCATTGAGAATGAGAATTTTCAAATACTGTAATCCTAGTTCAGAGAACAGTTGTTATTGGAATTTTAACTAAATGGATGAAGAAATGTTTTAAGAAATAAGTATCAGCCTTTCCTGCTCATTATTTTGGAACTGATCAAAAGTTAGTGATTTAGGCATTATGACTCTTAACTGAATAATCTTGTAAAAAAAAAATCTATTTGCAAAAGATTGTCAAAATATTGTCAGACTGTGATCTTTTAATCCTACTTCCTCATCTATTTTCTTCTTGAATGCAGTATTTATTAACTCAAATTCCTTATGATGCTTCAAGAAAATTATATGAAATATGTTATGTAAGACTAGAAGAGAGGAAGTGATGAGGAACAATAATGGTAGGTGACCCTGAAGAGAGGCAATTGCCAATGGAAAACATTTTAGAACAATTTGAAATAACTGTGGACATTTATTTATCTGAAACATCTGGACAGTGCAGCATAGTGGCCAAATTAGGGTGATTTAAAAAGAGATAGATCTCACCTCTGAAAATAGCCATTACCCTCTCATTCCACATACAGCAAGTAAGATTTTGTCATTACACATAGGCAGGCATATTCTCAGCCCAAGGAATTTGAGTCCCACTGCTTTCGTCCCGTTTTCTGCTTTTTGAGTCACTTCTATATCTCCTTCTCATTCTATTAATTCCTTCTGAGTCACATTTTATTCCAAATATAAACTCTTGAGCAATGAATGTAAGATCCAGAAATACTGAGATGACAAACATTTGCTAGTGTAGTCTAGATTAGTCTTGGATATTTCATCTTAAAATTTTCCTTTCCTGTGTATTGTATATGGTTTGCAGTAGAGAAGAACAGTATTATATTTTTCCAAAGTGTCTTTTATTCCATTCCCCAACGCATGCTTCTCTTAATATTGTCCTCCTGATGAATTTTTCATTGTTTTCCAAAACTTAACTTTTGACCTTTGCAGCAGTTCTGCACTCATAACTTTCATGACATACTGAGTTCTTCTCTTTTCCTTTAGGCAAAAATGTACAATGTACCTTCTATCCTGTCAGACAGAGTCTGTCTGTCTTCTATTTGGTAACCCCTTGCCATTTATTACTGGCAATAACTATTTTTTAGATATCTATTTTTTATCTACCTTTTACTAAACATCATCTTCAGTATATAGCTCACCTAAGGTCATGTCAATACCGGCCTTTTTCTCTCATCTGTCTCTCCTCCCACTTTTATTTATCCTTGTATAGGCTAAATAGGAGGTTGCTTTTCCTCCTGACTTCCTTTGTTTTTTCCTTCTCCTGTAAATATAAGTGTCAAGGTTTAGCTCTCTTTCATACATAAACCTTTTCTTTTTTGCCCCAGTGTAAGTCTGTGCTACCAGTAAAGCCTTGGTTACTCCCCAGTACCTTTTCCTGTATCTTTTTTCTGTACTCAGAGCATTTATGGAAGAAAGGCCACAAAATATTTACCACATCTTTTCTGTCCTCCTTTTCATAAACAACTCTTTTCCCATTTAGTGGGTTTTCTCATCTCAAATATCAATTGCCTTGTCACTGTCTTCAAGACTTCCCCTACTGCAGCCACCTTTTCACATGTTCCACAAACAGTTTCTCAGTCCAAGAGGAACTGGACCAAACTGAGTGCCTTTGCCTTCCTTTTCTTAAACTATTGAACTTACCTGTTAAAATATGATGTTTCTTGACTGTCCTTTCCCTAACTCGTTTGCTTGTTCCAATGACCTCACTGCATAACCTGTCCTCGTCATCTTTTTTCATCTTTCTGCTTTACTGTTTTCACTACAGAACAGTGCTTCGTGGAATGTTTTTTCTTCTCACAAAGGCATCTTTATCTTTTGCCTCTGAGACATCCCTTTTCTGCATCATTGCAGATGCTTGTGATCTGCCATTTAAATTTGTAATCTAGGTTTAATCTTTAATTTAGCGTGCTTCTTAACAATGATATGCAAACCTGTCTTTAAATGTGGCAGATACTTTTTTGGTGGTGGTGAGAGCTTGCAGAACACTGCAAATATAGAGTTTTGTCGTCCATTTTAATTCCTAAAGCTTTGCTATCTTACATTTCAGTTACTGTGACATCATGTTATCTGTTTCTGTCAAAGGCAGTTTTGCTCCCTGTGTGCATGTAGAAGGCTGCTGCTAAGGTCATTTTCTTAGTCCATCACTTTGATTTTCACACTCCGCAATTGCACTCTCCTTCTGTATTGCACCAAACAACCCAACCTTTTTTTTTTTTTTTTTTTTTTTTTTTTAGACAAAACAAAACAAAACCTTTCCGAACTCTTTAGGCCTTATTGCAGTATCAAGTTGTCATTTCCCACCTCCAGTTGGGCTTTGAGGCCAACTTTCATAACACCCATATTAAATCCTCAACTGCATACATTCAGGCACTGAGTGACACCTTCATGCATATTTTATCTCCCATGGTCTTCCATGAAGTTCTGTTATTCCCTTTCAAGCCACAATTTAACATTCTCCTTTGGTGTGGTGCTCACAAAAAATGGGGATTGCTGAGCTTTTGGTGTTCTGAGACCAGAATCCAAGCACACCCACAAACATTGCCTCATTGTTTTCCTTTACTCCTCCCATCTGTCTCTGTCCATCTGTTTTATCATATAGTTTAATTCTAGGCAATTGAAGCAAAAAAAAACAAATTTATATGTCCACAGTGTCACTACCTACAGCACTTGACACATTGGCATCACAATCTGTGGCTAAAATCCAAATCTAATCCAAATCTAAAGGCCATAAGATAATGCAAACACATAAAAGTAGATGTAGATGTAATTATTATGAGGTGTTTACTAATATTTTACCGTTTTTCTTTCATTTTCCTGAAGGTGATATTATTCATTTATTAAAAAATATATATTCTTGTCTTTTACCTGTTAATTTAGAACTGCAAGTGTTGCTTATTATTTTATTTATTTATTTATTTTAATCTTCTGTCACAACAAGCTATTCAACCTTAGTGTGTGTGAATTTTGGCAGAATTTTCTCATCAACTGTTCATGAACAGTTTCTCCAAAGCAGTCTGTAATGTGGTGACACAAAATGTGTTAAAAGGACACATTAACATTCCTGCCAATGATGACAAGAGGGAGTTAATCCATATGTTGATATGCTGTCATTCAAAAGCAATGTAAGAAATAAATTTATCTTTAGGCAAAAAAATAAAAGGGACATTCCTTGATTTTATTGTTTGAATGTTGTCCTCCCCCATGAGTTAGAGTGGCAAGTGTTCATAAGAATAAATACCCTGGCTCTTGCTAAACATGTTGTGGTCCGCATCTCAGGAAGATGAATTAAGTTTGTGTGTCTTTTTCTGAAAGCTGTTCTCATTGCACAGTCTAATATCTTGAAGTAGAGGGGAAGACATATAGTTTGGTGTCCTTTCTTCTTCCATTTCCTCAAAACCTTCATTGGAGATCCATGTACATACAGTGCCACTTCTACACACAACTACTTGCCCTGTCCAAATCTCAGTGGCACAGGTGTGTCAGGAATGATGACTAGAATGTAAAAACAGCAGAGCAGCACTTTTAAGGACCAAACTATACAGGACATACTAGTGTTTTCAAATACTGTTTTATTTTATATCTATTTTATTTATATTACATTATTTTATTTATTTCATTTCATTTTATTTTGATAAGGAATATCAGTGGTAATTATATTTTTCCAGCATCTGGATCTCTCTAATGTCTACTGTGTTTTCCTAAAATGCTTTACAGGGGGGAATTAAGTCCCACCAAGGGACTTAATCATGTCTTTAAATGATTTGATGAATTCAGAACATGGTTTTATTCATGGAAAGTTATGATAATCTTTCATGTGTGTGCCTTAGTTAACAAGGTATTTTGATAGAATTTTATCCTGATATGTAACGTCAGAGCCCCTAATGTCCCTAACCTCTGAAACAATTTGTATTCTAGATAATGAAAGCCAGTGTCTGCCTGTCATATGTGTCTTTGAAAATGTCTCCTGAAGCCCAGCAATATAATGGAGTGCAGTTTTGATGCTGACTGCTCAGAAGAACAGTCAGTCAATGGTGAGACTTTTTCTAATCTGGACGCATGAGATAAGTCTGTTAACAAAGCCCAGTGAGCTCACTATAATGGCAAGTGTCAAATAATTTTGTCGTTTGATATAACCAAGTGTTCTACAAAGTTGGATTTGTCACTGCATTACTCAGTAACTTTAGAAAGTGCTATCTGCTTCACCTTAATTTGTGTACATAGATATGAAGTTTCTATGTCTAATGAATTCCTCTGCTAACTCCACTGCGCAAAAAGAATCCCTCCATCAGACAGTGACAACTCAATCACAACGTTTAAGCATTCCTATTTCCTAATGGTCAGAATATACAGCACAACCACTGCCATAATAAGAACCTGATGGAATTACTTAGCCAGACCGCTTCTGGTTTGCATTAAAAATAAAAATAATAATAATAAAAATAAGTTATAAAAATACCTATCTTTCTGTATTAATTCATTTCAGTCCTCTTTGGACCCAGGGGATCCTAATCAAAAAGTATGATTTGATACTGACAGAAAGAACTGTTGCAATTCCTCTTTTCCCTCCCCATTCAAACTGTATCTGTACCCACACTGACAACCAGTACCCCAAATACAACAGAAGAAGTGACAATCGATCCTAAAAATGGGAAGTTACAGATTGATGTGTTTATAGGTAAGGTTTCACCTTAACCTCCAGTCCTAGTAGGGGTTTTCTTGTTGACTTGTAATGCATTGGGATAGAAGCAAGATCTATCTTGGATCCATGCAATTCAGTGTCATATTTCCTTCTTGAATTCAGTAAGGATACATGTTTTCTCTGAGACATTCCTCTCAGATTTCTCTCTAAAATTCTGCTCTATCTGCTTCCCCTTAAGAAATTAGGCCAACCATCTCTGGAGTCATTAGCAATAGCAGAAATGACCTTTAAGGTTAGCCAAAGAATTTTATGGAAATCTTACATTTTTCTCTCTTTCTATCACTGTCCCAATACTGTTAGTGAACAAGATCCACACCACTTGATGTGTGAAAGGCAGGACATTTGGATGTGTAATGGTTATTATTATAGGTAGGTCTTGACAGATATAAACACATAACAGTCAACAAATGAAAAAGTGACAAACAATACAGCCCTCTAATGGTAAAAGTGAATACTAACATTTCAAGGAATGAATAATAATTATATGAGAAAAAAATATATAAATCATACAAAATGTAGTATGCTTTCTTCGGTACTGATGATACCAGCCAAGTTTAAATAAGGAAGATGTTAAATCCGCATAGTGGAAAATAATGAATCCCAAAGCCTAGCAAAAAAAAAAAAAAAAAAAAAAAAAAAAAAAAAAAAGCCCTTGTTTAATTTTAAAAGGTCAATAGAAGTGAAAAAGGCAGGAGAAGCATGAAGGATGCAACACTTCCTCTGTGATTGCTCTCCATAGCTGCACAGCTCAGAATCTTACACTGTGCTTTGGGGACACCTTTGCCTGGTTTCAAAAAATAATAATAAAAAAACCCTTAGACCCACTGGGGACATTTTTTCATCTTAAGCTATACTGGGATCTGACTCTGAACTGAATTCTACTTTTAAATGCTGAAGTCTGAGCCTAAAGCTGCTTTGGTGGTTGACTGTACATATGGTAATGCCCTACAAATTCTGTTTTCCAAGACAGTGATCCTGCGGTGCTATAAAGGCAACAAGTAAAACTAGGGCATTTTGCTCTCTTTGTGAATGTCAGAAAACATAGCTGTTTAACTAAAATGGAATGGAGATGGTGTTAGAAAGTATTCAGAGTTTCCTGGCTTTGTTCTTCATCCATATGTCTGATCTGCTCACTTGTCTTGCAATCTAGCTTTTCCATTGTGGAACAGAACAAGGGTAGGCAGAGGCTATGTGAGAAACTGAATGAAGATATGTCTTAATAATATTGTTTATGTGGAATTATTGCTGTTGTTATCTGAGGATAAAGCTTCAGTTTTAAGGATATACTTCTCCCTGTAGAGTTTTCTGATGTTTTTCTATTTCATGTCCTTTTAGATCCATCTCTAAATAAAAGGACTACGATCAGTACTGAAGTCCTTGCTAACAGTCAAGCCTAAGAGCTTCATCAGTATCCCAGTACCTATGTTTTACTTTCACACCCTCATGGCAGCCTCAGCAAATCTGACAGGCTGATATGGAATCACAGGCAATTTGCTCTCTTACCTCATGAGAAGTTTACAAATGAGGAGTTTAATATATTTTGTATGTTTAAATCCAGATCTTTTTCTACTGGAAAGCTTAGAGTTGAGTTGTAGCTGGCCAACAGTCAGCCAGTGTATCGTACGCAAATATTAAGAACTACAGGAATAACCACTGTTATCACTTTAATCTCTTCTTGATTTCTATGACATCCACATATTACTTCACACAATTGCAGTCTAAGTTTTTATGTTTGTGGAATAGAACACTGACTTTCTGCTGATAAAACTGGGTGATAAATACATGTACGTGAATGAAGGACTAAACTGTGTTCTTACAGCAATCAATGAATGTAGTTATTTAATATCTGGACAATCTTTTAATATATTAATATTTTCAGCTGGAGGTATCATTTGTTTTCTATAAAATTTAAGCTGTTTCAGGGTTGATAAAGCCTTCTGGATACTTATTTAAGCTACTTTTTGAATCCAGAACTTGTACAAACACGGATTATTTTGGGGTCTGTTACAATTAGAACCACACAGTGAGTCTTATGTTACTGAAACTCTTCAGTTAAAACACAATAAACAAGACATACATGTACAAGTTTGCAGAGGGCACAATAGTTTAGAATTAGTTTGCACATTCTCTAGAATGAGAAGAGACAGCAAATAAGGACATTAGTCTAATCAAAAACAGCTCCAGAAATAACTACACTAGAATTGCATCAATGACATTTCAGCTCATTTCTCAGTTCCTCTGAGCTTGAAATGCAAGACAACCAGACTTCAGCAAATAAACTAATAGCAACATTTGTTCAGTTTATAATTCAGAATAAATTAAGGATGAACATAAGTGTGTGAGTGATACCAGCAGTGACACTGGTGAAATAGAATTTATCATATTCTATTTATCATATTCCACAGTATGCCCCATACCATACAGCAGAGTACTGCTTTCTCATCTACTTATATTTTTAATACCAGTAATTGTGTTTTCATTCAGAATCATTTAACATGTCTATGGCTGTTTTATCTATGAGAAACTGTTATTAGGGGAACAAATTAGTTTTTCCTCTTCAGTGTTTTCCAAAGCAATTTAGCAATTGCAAATTAAAAGATGAGAAAGCCAACTTTTTAGACTACATACATGGTATTATGGATCATGTCTGGAGAATTTGTGATTTGCATATATATATTCTTTGGATTCAAAATAGTTGATTTATGGAAAAGAAGGGCCTTGACAAGACAACTTATGTTTTCATCCTCTCAATAAATTGTTCTCTTCTCATTTCAATTATGAATGGCTGTTTTGCATGGATACTCAATACTAAAGTTCTCTCTACTGATTAAAATCTCAAATATTTTACAATCCATTCCAGAACAGGAACTTACATTGTTCATTACAGTTTGTCTTCTCAGCTTCTGATCTATGTAGTACATTACGTTTTATTCCAGAGATTACCTGTATATAGAGACTCCTATAGATTTCTTCTGTTTATATTCAGGCTCCTATAGATTCCTTCCATTACATGAACTAATTTCTATGACAAACAAGTCTGTTAGTTCCTTGTAGTTTTACTCTTATAAGTACAATTAGACCAATTTCCTCTGTCCCTATTGCATTTGTCTGAGACTCTTACATGGGGAATTTAGTAATGCTAATTGATCTCAACAGTAACAAATCCAACTTTAAATATCAATCCAGACCTGATGCACTCACTGGAAATGTCTCTACCAAGCCATTGATTTTACTGGGAACACAAAGAACTTCAGCTCTAAATGCAAACATTACAATTTAGTGTCTTAAGTAGGGTGAATCCAGGCTCAAATTTATGACTTTCTCTTAAAGATGTTCTCCAATGTCATCTTTGTTTCTTTGAAGGCCAACCTTAGTGGAAGAAAAATTGTCTTGAAGACTGTGGTGGTTTTACTGTACTGGGCAGCTAAACCCCACAACCGCTCTCTCACTCCCCCTCCTTTAGATGAGGAGGGGGAGAAGTAACGCAAAGAACAACTCACAGGTTGAGATAAGGATAATTTAATTAAAGGGAAATAATTATAATAATTAAATAAAGACTACCATGAATTAAACAATTTAAGGGGAAATAAAAAGGGAAAGGGAGGGGAAAAAAGGAAAATAAAAAGAAGGGAGGAAAACAAACAAACAAAATAAATGAAGGCTATATGGAAGTGCAGAGGAAAGAAATTACTCTCTACTTCCCACAAATGAGCGATGATTGACCACGTCCTTGAAGCAAGGCCTCAACGCACGCAGCCGGTGTTTGAGAGGAGGACCGACGTCTTCCAAACGAGAGCCCACCCCCCCCCTCTTCTTCCTGTTTCCACCTTTTATTGCTGAGTGTGACATCAGATGGTATGGAATATCCCTTTGGTTGGTTTAGGTCAGCTGCCCTAGTGATGTTTCTCTCCTCACCTTTTGCCCACCCCCTAGGAGGGTTAGAGAAAGGCCTAATACTGTGCCACTGCTGCTCAGCAGTAGACACAACACTGGTGTGATAACACTGCTGTTCCAGCTACAAGTACAGAGTACGGCACTGTATGGGCTGCTGCTGGGAAAGTTAACATTCCAGCCAGACCCAGTACAAAGACACCTAAAGATGCTTGTAAAATAAGTTATATTTGATTTTGGGATTCAGGAGACTCAGGACACCAAACAGGAATCTTGCATCCTGTAATATGTTTCAAAACAAATTTCAAAGCAAATTTTTGTAACTAAGTAAATTTTACATTATTAAAACCCAGAGGCAGTATTTCAGTGTTTCTAGTGGCTGAAAACCTTCAAGAATGTGCTGCTCTCCTCACTTCATCACACATTACATTACAAGGATGA